ACGCCCTACTGCCAGGTACATCGATGAATTAAGCAACCTCACTCAAAACGTTGATAGCTTGGATGTTCTCATGATCAGGTATCATAAGAACAGGTGTGATATCAGTCACAGGTCCAGGTATGGAACAGTAACCTTGAAAGGTGCTGAACCTTGACCCGGGACATCCTACAACCTCACACAAAAACGTTGAAAGCTTAGATGTTCTCATGATCAGGTATCATAAGAACAGGTGTGATATCAGTCACAACAGGGTATGGAACAGGGGTTAGGGTATGGAACAGTAACACCTTGAAAAGGTGCTGAACCTTGACCCGGGACAACCTACTGTACCATTAGATTTTCCACCTTTTTTAGAACAAGTGTTAATCACATGATCTTTTATTATTGAGATATGCAATATACAAGTCACAGGTAGAGGTACTGACGGGCACTCCTTAAATATGTGCTGAACCTGAACCTGTGACCAATCTACTATCAGGTTAAGTGCAACCTCTCTTACGTACCTGTTACCATAGTGCCTCACAAAGTGTTGGCAGCATGGTAACATCACATGATTATCATTGGAACAGGTGATATACCAGTCACAGGTCCAGGTTCAGAACAGGTACTCCTTGAACAGGTGCTAAACCTTGACCTGTGACAACCTACGATTAGATTGCGCCACCTCACAGTTACAATGACCGATAAAGTTGATTTGTGGAGAAAGTTTCACTGATTGTAGTAGTTAAGGACAGGGTGTGTAGTCAATGAGAGAATGTGATGTTAATTATCTTGTCCTTGGATAGAGAGTGTTTTAATGATTATTTATACAGAAGGTGAATGTGAAATTTAAATCTTTGTTAACGTCCATTGTGCAGTTCTTTCTAACTTCCAAAATACTTGGCTAAGTAGTGTTTGTGGGGAGGCAAGCAAAATTTTTCAGATAATTTTGTTGAACAATTTTTTTCTGAATTTGTGTGTAGACGGTACCTATGCTTAAAATGTGGGTTGTGGTAATCACCTGATAACGAACAATGAAAAAATGAAAAAAGATTTTTCCACCATGAGATTTATAAATAATTTGACAAAGTATGTTTAGAATGAGGTTTAAATATGAGAAACCTTAGGATATAACTTTTAGGCCTAGACACTGAATTCTCTATAGGAACTAGGCCCAAACAGTTCCACAGTTTAAATCATTGACTAAATTATATTATAGGCTAATTGAGTTTTAGCCACCTGATCACATTTCAATACTTAAAATAAACGGTATCAACTTTCTGACACATATCAACCTCTGGGCAAGCGATGTGAATATAACTAGGTCTATGATATTTAATAGGTTAAATCACAAAAGTTGCATTGGCTTTTGAAAACTCAATTGTAGGTAAATAGTTCCAAAGATTAAAATGTAGGTCTATGATAAAAATACTAGGTGGCGTTCGCAGAGGCATCCGCAAAATTGAGCGGAGTCATCAAGGGTTCATATTATATTGTTTTTGTCATACTGCAGTAAAAACAGAAGTTTTTAATGCATGCGTTGCGGGTCTAAAGTAACATTTTTTTCTCTTTAGGGAGTAAAAATCGTTTTTAGCCTCTATGGAATAAAAGTCAGTTAATGTCAATTTAGTAGTATATTTCTATTGTAAACTATTGCATGTTGCATGTATCGATTCGTGCTACGTAATCATTCTAACCTACAGTCTACAGTATCTTTTCATAGCATTTTAGCATTGCAGATAGGCTACATTATAATCCATTCCCACACTCGACGCTGCTCACCTTTACTACTTCCTTCACCACCCCCAACGTCGTGGACCTGTTTCCCTCTCTTCCCATAGCATTTTAGGATTGCAGATACATTAATGTAATTGCTAAAGACAGTTCCCACACTCTGCATTGCAAGCCTTACCACTTCCTTCACCACTTCCTACGTCACAGACCTGTTTACCTCCCTTCCCTTAGCATTATTGAATTGCAAATAGGCCTACCTTAATCTATTCACAGACATAAACAGATCCCAAACTCTGAACAACTAAACTTTACTACTTCCTTCACCACTGCCTACGTCACGGACCTGTTTCCCACCTTTTCCATAGCATTTTAAGATTGAAGATACCTTTTAATCTAATCGGTATAAACAGTTCCCCCACACTCTGGAAAGCTCGCCTTGACTCCTTCCTTCACCACTTCCTACAGCGCGGACCTGTTTTCCTCCATTTCCATAGCATTTTAGGATTGTAGATACTTTAATCTAATCGTCATAAACAGTTTCCACACTTCGGACAGCTCACCTTGACTATACTTCCTTCACCACTTCCTTCGTCGCGGACCTGTTTTCCTCCCTTCCCATAGCATTTTAGGATTGCAGATACCTTAATCTAATCGTCACAAACAGTTCCCACAGTCCGGACTGCTTGCCTTTACTACTTCCTTCACCACTTCCTACGTCACGGACCTGTTTCCCTCCCTTCTCATAGCATCATAGGATTGCAAATACCCGAATCTAATGGTCATAAACAGATCCCATACCCCGAACAGCTCACCTTTACTACTTCCTTCACCACTTCCTACGTCGCGGACCTGTTTCATTTCCGTCCAATAGCATTTTAGGATTGCAGATACCTTAATCTAATCATCATAAACAGTTCCCACACTCCAGACAGCTCACCTTTACTACTTCCTTCACCACTTCATTCGTCACGGACCCGTTTTCCTCCCTTCCCATAGAATTTTAGGAATGCAGATACCTAAATCTAATCGTCATAAACAGTTTCCACACTCCAGACAGCTCACCTTTACTACTTCCTTCACCGCTTCCTACGTCACGGACCTCAAGCTAGTGTCGTTATTTGATTATATTTATGATCCATACCGTTTCTGTTCTAATATCTGTGGAATAAGGCTATCAGCTATTTCTTTATCTACTGCATTCAAAAGTCAACAGCTGATCATATGTCTTTGTTTATGTGTCAAATACTGCTTCCATAAGGATTACATTGAAACTTTGAGACCCAGTGGTGCGGATTCCTGAGAGACTTTGTTAATGCCATATAGATGTTGGCACTCACCGATATGGTCTTTATCACCATGCAAAATTTGAAAACGATTGATTCAGCCATCTAGGAGGAGTTTGCGTATTACGAAAAGCGTAAGAGTCGACGTATAAGAGCTTTGCTCGCTTCGCTCGCTCCGCTCAAAAATGTGTTAATCATTTGTCTATTGCATTTTTCTACACCCTGTAGGGACAAGAAGGTAGTTGAATCGTAATTTTTACAGCAATAGAGGTTGGACTATGGTGTTAAGAATTATAAGGACCATCACATAGGTGAAAATCAGTTTTTTCTTAAAATCAAAATTTTTGTTATTTTATGGGTATTTTTTAGGTGAAAATAACAAAAGTAATAATAGCCTATAACTTCATTTTTACGGAAATGGGGTTTGTACCATTTTGTTCAGAATAAATGATGATAACATACCTACTAAATTTTTATCAAAACCGTTCAGGTCATACAACTTTTTGGGTTCAGGGGGACCCAAAATGGATATATCCACTCAAAACTCAAATTCAAAAATTTTGATGAAAACAATGCTAGCCTACTTTCTCCATAGCCTAGTATGTTAGTTGGGGGAGATGGTGTACATCTGAATTTAAGTGATCATTAATGTTGCGTTATGGAAACTAGTTTTCTAGACTAGTTGGAGTCATTTTCAGGCTAGTACGTAGGCTTACAGATGACATGAAACGAGATGACATCTAACTAGCCTGAAGATGACTCCGGTGTTGAGTGTAAACTAGTTGCCATACAAAATTAAAGATCACATACATGCGGGTATGTGGAAACACCAATTTATAGTAACAATCAAAGTAAATTAAAAGAACCAAAAATGTTCAAAATGCTTTAAAAAAATACCTGAATAACTTAAGCCATCACAGGCCCTCAAAAAGGTGGTCAGTGCATAACTTAATACAACAAATTTTCATGTAGGCTATCGAATGGATTAAATGCCGTCGGTTTGAATACACTATAGTACACACTGGTTCTTGGATATGTACCTAGAGGCACAGAAAACGTACTACTATAACCCAGAATGCCAACCGCATGGTAAAAAGCATTAAGCGGTTTGAGAGAGCTTTGCCTGTCAATCCGTAGGCAGCGCCACCAGCGTTGCCATGCAATAGCATAGCAACGCTGGTGGCGCTGCCTACAGATTGACAGGCAAAGCTCTCTCAAACCGCTTAATGCTTTTTACCATGCGGTTGGCATTCTGGGTTATAGTAGTACGTTTTCTGTGCTAGAGGTCTTGTCCACTAGTGCAACGAATGCACACCAGGGTATTGCATACACAGTGCATGCCTATAAATATCCACAATTCGTGACCTCCTAGTAGCTGGATCAAAGCACAACGCCACCGTCCCAGTCAACGTTTCATTCTTTAGTTAGCTATGTAGCAATTTAAGAAAATAAGTCAAAATACCTTTGGCCAAGTTGTTATATTTCTTGGTTACTTAATGGGTCTAAACAAATTTATTATTAGCTGGAAGTCCACTTGCCCCGGGCGTACACTTACCCCACATAACCTTAAATATTCTTTGATTTAGGGACAATCTAACTTACTATGGAACTGTAGCGACGTAAACATATTTTTCAACATTTGTAGTAAGCCTAACAACCCTAACAGGTACCTACCATGGTAACTTAGGCTTAACTTAGTGACACAAGCTCCGCTGTGTCAAATTTGTAAAATCCGAGCCCTGCTAATAAAATGATTAAGGGTTTAGGTTATGATTACAAATAACTGGAATAGAACTAGGTAAGTTAGTTCTATTCTTTGTAATTACAATAGGCCTACCCTAGGCATGCAGAATTCTAATAGCCTAGCCTAATTTAAAAGCCTTGGAAAACACTTGTTCCAAACAAGCATATAGCCTAACCTAAGCAAATAATAACTAAACTCAATAGGCAACAGTAGATAATGGTTGTAAATGATAAGCAAAAAGTAGTTAGTTTAACACTTACCTTACTGCTACACGAACGCTTGATTCGTCATCAGCCATGGTTTTGGGTTGTTTGTTTACAACACTAAAATTGACACCGCTAACCTAACTTAAAGATGAAAGATTTTAATCATCACTTTTGTAGGCCTACTAACACGTCAGAAACAAGCGTGGTAAATCATCTTAACAATTTGAACAGTTCATTCATAGTAAGTTTAGGTTAATGCTTGTGTTATCACTTGAAGAAGTAAGCAACTGTCACAAAATCGATTACGGGCATGACAGAGAAGCTAAACAAACATTACAGCTGCAGTTCAAAGCTTGTTATGATTTGGATCAAATTAAAAGTACTATTAGATCAATTAAAACAAATTAGACTTTAAAATAGATTATAAAACTATCTGTCGGAGGTTAAAAAATCTCGTAACGATTAAAACAACTCCCGCAAAAGAAATTAAACGGCACACACACATTAAACAACGAAAGCACGTACTACGAACAGCTGAGCAACTGAAAAGTTCAACGGATCTCCGTTGCGTTTGGCGTTCACCACACTTGAAGGTCTACGAAAAAATACATCGGAACGACACAGCTGATCGCTCTAGCGTCAAAAAATACAAAGAGATCAATGTTGCCGACATCGTTCCACCGCTGCTCACTAGATCGCAGCACCGACTGGTCTTCCACTCTCCGACGGAGCGTAGTCGAACTCGATTTCATAATAGATGTCGCTGCTGGGTAAATACCTGAATTCATTCTAGAACAAGAAAAGTTACGGGCAGCAGAAGAGCGGCACAGACTAATGAGTGATGACCGGGTGACGCTCGACCATCTGACACCTGGCTTTGTTTATCCTCAGTCGTAGTGCAGCGAGTGTTCGGTCTCGGTCGGGTTCGGTTCAGAGTTCAGTAACGTGGGAAGTGTACTCAGTGAAGGTGGGTGCCGTCCCTATGCCACACGTAGTTCGCGTAGGGCTCTCTTCCGAGCTCGCGGTGTGAATTGACTGTGTTGTTTATCAAACGTCCGATTTCGCCCAAGAATTCACATGAACGCCAAAACAAAAGCACCGCCGGCCCCGCTGCCTGCTCTTCGGCACTCCACAGCGACTACCACCCTCCCAGACGCCCGTGCCAAACAAATACTCAAGGAAGCCGTGGACGCTGTTGTCAACAGTTTTGCTAAACATACTCAAGGATATGGCCGAGGTAAGTTTATATTTGTTTTACTTAATATTGAAACTGTCAACTGTCATTGGAGTGTAAAATTGACTGTACATAGGTCGAGAATTTGTTTATGAAAATAAGTCAAATACTTTGTATAACTTTTAGGTAGGGTACTTTATTTTATAGTGACAGATTTGTGGTCCTTGATAAGCATATTTTTGCTAGAGACATTTAAGAAATCGTTTTCGCCACCTTCACTATTCTCGGGCGTTAAGGTCTCCCGAAACAGGATTTTTATTTTTCCTTGTTCTTTGGGTGTTATTATGATAACTAGACTTACCTACTCCACGAGATCCATCATTGAAGTGATAACAATCCGTCTTGTACTTCCACCATGATAACAATGTAGAAGAAAATTAATCGTGTTTACACAGTTTAAAGGTATGAGGTGGTATTTTGTTTGGTTCTTGATTTTGAAAAGTATGTACTATAGGCTACTTACATTGCCATTGGTGCGTTTATGTTTTTCAACCCAACAAATTATGTTTTGCGTTCCTAGTAGTTTTTCTTCATAATCTAAATAAATAAATTACCATCCAAAATGACGTCCATTTATTAAGTTACCGTACTAGATTCATTAACTCTGAACTCCACTGTTACAAACCCCTAAGTTTAATCCACGCAATAAAACTGCAAAATTACGATTAATTATAAAATTATAGCAAATACGATTGAATTTTATCTACTAATAGTGATACTATGTGTTACCTCTTACAAGTATTATTAATTGTATTACAACAAATGTCCATAAAAAATTAAATTGCATCGCTTGAATTTTACGGTTTCTAGCTGAACAAAGAATAAAAACCCATTAGTTACCGGTACCTACAATAACTGTGGTTTCTTAATTTTTATTTTTAAAACATTCCAAATGTTGGCTTATTCATCAATTAACAGTTTTACCAACTGAATGAATTCTAAAACTTGAAATATTAAAACCATTGATATCTCTTGAAGCATTATTTAATTTATTGGGTTTCTACGTTTTCCTCGTTTTAGTTATTTCGATAATCTTTCAAAATATTCCATCTTATTTCAGGGCGGTATAAAATTCCTAACATCAATAGCGAAACCTATAAAATTGTGCTCAACATAAGCACGCATGGCAAGACGTTCACTTTGATTGAGAACATGAACTCACAGAAGAAGGCATCTGGCTGGAATGATATTTATTTATTTAGATGCTGCAAGAAGACTTATTCTCATCCCATTGTATTGTAAATCTTCAAGCTCGATTGGGTATGACCGATAACAAGAGCCCGTTGACGTTGACTAGACGTTTTTCTCTATTTTAGGGTGCACTTTACTATTTGATTAAATTACTAAAACAAAAGCTGAAGTTTGTAAAAAGTTTTTTACTAGAGACTGTGATAATATATAGTTCTGAGTGTTCGTAATCACGAAAGTAAAGAGAAGACTTTGCTCGAGTGTATGCATAAAAAACCCTTAGTCTTCAGCTGATCCACGAAGCTGGGTTATCTGAGAAATGGTCATTTTATGAACGAATCTCCTCTCTCCAGATGGTACCACGTTCAACTCATATGCTGAACTGACCAACTCAAACGACCACAACCGACAGAAGCAACATTGAAGCAAAATTCGTTCAACACTGTGGGGATGACGGCTCTAGCCCAAGAACCACACGGTGTAACACTACGAACAACAATACTGGGGAAATATAGCCTTTGTAGCAACATTTTTGGAATGGAAATAAACTGCATCACTTTTAGTGTCATCTACACTAGCAACAATATAAATTGCATTGCTAGACAACAAATATTGTAGCACCAAAAAAAAAACACCACTATCTAAAGAACTATACTGATGTAACAATAAATCAACAACCTCATTGTAGCAGCACAAACACATCTACTACAGAATTAATGTTGTGGCAATGAAACAACAACATCATTGTAGCAACTCAAACGTATCAACTCCAGAATTAATTTTGCAACAATGAATCAACAACAACAACCTTGTAGCAACACAAAATTCCTAAGAACTACTGCTGCAACAGTGAATCAACAGCTAGGAGGATTAACGTTTCCTCCTAGATCAACAGCAACATTGTAGCAACAAAAACACACCCACAAACCTGTTGCACCACTGAAGTAAGCAACCCGTTGCATCATTGTAGCAACACTAGCAACAGTGTTGCAAGCTCACGCATGTCACTTGAGCGGTAAGTTTACGTGTGCTAGGTCCGCCAAGTATACTCTTCTATTAGCTTTTCCATTCTTTCTTATCGCCGTATGCAGCTGCATAGGAATTACTGCATATGAGCTCGCGCGGCTTTACTGCTCTGCCTTGCCTTTTTGTAGCGCTGCAGTAATTCCCAGGCGATAAGCTTGTTTGTTTAGAAGCTCAAGAGGAATTTAGATTTACCGAGTTCGCTCGAGTCTGTTTCGTCACTGACACGTGTTAAGCATTGTAGTTTCTTTGTTTTAAAGTTAATTATTTGATTTTGTGGGTTTTGAAGACTTTTGCCTTTAACGCTTTAGATGAGTTTGAATAATGTTTAATTTATTCAATGCTACGAAAGTTTATTCGCTTAGCCTATAGGTTTTAGCATTGACTGCTGGATTCTACCGGTATTGGATAACTTTTAATATGCTTCGTTGCATAAAATTAAATGTCTTAAAAGCACTACGACTCATTAAAGTGTTCTGAAATAATATTTTATTTTGTACTGTTCCCTGTTGGTTTCTAAATGTTAAACTGTTTCTGGATGTTTTTCGAGAGGGATGTATTTTTATATTTAGGAAAAGAGCATTACCGTTTCAAAATTGTGTCCCAGGTTTTCGTAGATTAAACATTATAATAGTAGCCTAATGCATTGGACTTCGTAATATCAACATGAGTGTGGCAACAATGAGAAATGCGTTTACATGTTATCCAACTCTTCCATTAGTATTATTTTTCAATACTAAAGAGACAGATTATTGATAACATAGACTCTTAGAATAAGGATTCTATTGAAATAGAAAAAGTCATTTAGAGTAACATTTAGTCGGCATTAGCGCCATTAACCCACGTAACTGAACTGGAAACAAGAACCAAAAAGGCTCCACATTGTACGATAGGTTGAGACTCTCCTTACATTATCATCAATAATGAAGCTCAAGGAGGTTCCATCGGATTCACATAGCTTGTATTATCGTTTTCTATTTGTTTCTAATTACTTTAAAACTATATGTCACCGTCAGCAGAATCTCACAATCTATTTGAAAACCTATGGTTATGCTTGGGTATTAACCAAAGAGCGCACTAAAATTTATCCCAAAAAAAGAGTGAAACATAAATTCGACATCAGCGCACTCAAACGGAACCAGGCTAAAACAAGAATCAAAAGAAGCTTCATATAGGCCTAGCACAATACAACTATAAATCTTCATAAAAAAATCAACAATAAATCTCAATGTCTCCTGCGAGACTTTATAAAATCAAGGTGATATTTAACACGACCCTAACATCTAGTACCTACAATTACATACAGCATAAATATATTTTAAAACTCCTTCCACATAATTAACCTTTTTGCATCTTTTTGGAAATTCAACATACACTTAGGCAACCTTCGCATTCACACAAAGTCAAACCCGATTCTCATTAGCTCCTGCAGTGCGAAACAGCTAGCCGATGCAGGAAGTGAACAAAGAATTAGTAATTAGCGAAGGCGGTAATCCAGCGTATTTATGGTGTTGAAGATTGGATCCAGGGTCTTATCTGGAGTGTTTATGGTGATTGTGTCTTCGCGAACTCATCTACTTGGTGTGGGATCAACCGGACACAGGTCGTGACCAGGGAAATCGGCTTGGGTGACGAGAGTTGAGTTGAGTTCAGTTTTGATAGTTGACGAAAAAGTTTCGTATTATTTTAGCGAAAATGATATGCTGTGAGGGACGTTCTTTAGTTCTTCGTTCTTCGTTAGGCATAAGCCTAAGAAAAAATTATCAGCTGGAATCGAAAAATGTTTCGCTATCGTCAAATTAAGCTCGTACTGGAAAAATTCAGATCCAATTTAAACATATTATATTACTATACCACACCAACTTGAAAAGGAAATAAGAGATATTAGATACTGAGACCACGTGAAACATATTTTTGCATGCATTTGGGCAAATTTTCAGAAACTCTGGACACAATAATCTTCAACGATTGTTTTCAACAAAGAATTAATTTGAAATGTTTGTCTCCTGTCACCTTTTGTAAGATTAGTAAAATCACACAAGTATGCATGTGACGGTCTATAGGCAAGACTTGTTTCTGAAGGAAAGTTGTTACAATTTTAATCAAAAAATGTTCCGAAACACTTCGTACGGTAAGCCTACTATTAAAATTATCATCTCACGATAGTTTCATCTTGTGCTATTGATATTCACTCCTTTTGACAATTAACATACAGATTTTTCAATTTTAAACTGTTCAACATACATAATATGACTAAGGATTATGGAATGACTCGTACTTGAGAGCGTTCTCCAAAACAGATAAAGTCCTCTTCGTCTGAGAAACCTCTAATTTTTATTGGGTACTAGCTGTGTACCCGTTCTACGCACGGGGATCTTATAATATTCAGTTGAAACCTTCTTATATAACGAACAGCAGTTGGTTTGCATATTTTAAGATATGCTGGCCAAACTATTATACATAGCTTCATTTTATGTTGTTTTTTGTTGTTCCGGATCGGTATGACAATCAATAAAAGGTTAAATTACCTCTGTGTCTGCCGGTCGATCCTATAACGGTAGGCTTACTTTTATTTTTACTATCTGATCTCGTTTGCATGGCTCAATCACGTCCTGGTTGAAGTTCGTTCGCTACGCTCACTCACCTGTATGTTGGAGCTCGTTCGCTGCGCTCACTTTCCTTCAGGTTAGCTCGTTCGCTACGCTCACTTGCCTTCAGGTTAGCTCGTTCGCTACGCTCACTCGCCTCCAGGTTGCAAATTAGCTGTTGTCATAAATGTAAAAGAAATAATA